TCAGGAACAGCGTGGGGAGTAGGGCCCGAGAGGTGATCGTCCCCCTGTACTCGGCACTGGTGAGGCCTCACCTCGAGTACTGTGTCCAGTTTTGGGCCCCCTACCATAAAAAAGACATGGAGGTGCTGGAGCGGGTCCAGAGAAGGGCAACAAAGATGGTGAGGGGTCTGGAGAATAAGTCTTATGAGGAGAAGCTGAGGGAACTGGGGTTATTCAGCCTGGAGAAGAGGAGGCTGAGGGGAGACCTTCTCGCTCTCTCCAACTCCCTGAAAGGAGGGTGTAGAGAGGTGGGGGTCGGTCTCTTCTCTCAAGTCACAGGCGACAGGACAAGGGGAAATGGCCTCAAGTTGCACCAGGGGAGGTTCAGGCTGGATATTAGGAAAAATTTTTTCACTGAAAGGGTTCTCAGCCATTGGAATGGGCTGCCCAGGGAGGTGGTTGAGGCCCCATCCCTGGAGGTGTTCAAAAGACGGGTTGATGTAGTGCTGGGAGGTCTGGTTTAGTGATGATGCTCCTTGTTTGTTTTGCGGGTGTCTATTTTTGTCAGTTAGGCTGACGGTTGGACAAGATGATCTTTAAGGTCCTTTCCAACCTAGAAGATTCTGTGATTCTGTGAAATGTGTCTCACGAGATCTTCCATGTCTTCTCACAGCCACCTGCCCAGAGAATTGGAAAAACCAGAGTAAAAGGTTTCCAGAGGAAATCTTCTCTGTCTTTTTTTCCCCACCATCATATGGGATGCACAGTGCCATCCTATGGGCGCTGACCCCCCAGACGGTCTCCCACAGCTGCTAATTGCAGATGTCTCATCAAGGAGTGTAAGAGCAGGGCGAGTACAGGGTGGTCTTTCCCAGAGATACCCAGCAACATCAGGACAGGCTGAGGGAGCTGGGATTGTTCAGCCTGGAGAAGAGAAGGCTCCGGGGATACCTTAGAGCCCCTTCCAGTCCCTCAAGGGGCTCCAGGAGAGATGGGAGGACTCTTGGTCAGGAAGGGGAGCCATAGGAGGAGGAGGAAGGGTTTGACATTGAAAGAGGGGAGATTGAGATGAGATGTGGGGAAGAACTTCTTTGGTGTGAGGGTGGTGAGAGCCTGGCCCAGGTTGCCCAGGGAAGTTGTGGATGCCCCATCCCTGGAAGTGTTCAAGGCCAGGTTGGATGTGGCCTTGATCAACCTGGTCTGGTGGGAGGTGTCCCTGCCCATGGCAGGGCGTTGGAACTTGATGATCTTTGAGGTCCCTTCCAACCCAAACCATTCTATGATTCTATGAATTTCCTGGACCGCAGGTTGCATAAAGACACCTTATTTTTACCCTTAAATTCACACTCTCCAGGAATTGCTCTCAGCCCCACACTTACACAACATCTTGTGGATGCTTATATACACACATATTATATATAAATGTCTATATAAATACATAATACACCTATTAAAAAAAACACCCTTATTTTTTTGCCTTAAGGCTGCATCCTACAGCCAAAAATTTCAAAGGCATCAGGTACTTAGGGATGCAGAGGGGGGATTTTCGGACACGGGCAAGTCAGCTTCAAATCTGGGCTCCCCTATCACCTTGAGGAAACCAATTATTTTTGGAAAGGTTTTGAAAACTTTACCTTGGCAGAAAAGGAACCAGATGCTGAATATATTTTCCAGGACTAACCTGGAATTTCCATAGAAATGCCCTTTCTGACCGTGAGGTTAGAACCACGTGAGGCACATCACGGTGACTGATACATAGAGGACATTTTCAGGGGAGCTGAAGCCAGCAGAAATCCCCCATCCAAGCATTTTTCAATTCCCCAACCAGCAAGGCAGAAATCTCAGCTGGAAATAAAAACAGGACTTTGGATTTTCCAACCAAACCCTTCAAAAATCCAGACAAAATTGCACCAAAAAAAAAACCAAACCAACCAACCAACACAACATCTCTTGGGAAATAATTACCCAGCTTTTTCCTTAGGAGGTTTGAAGATTGATAATTTACAGGCAAGACAAACACCTTATTTTTTTTTTTTTTTTTTTTTAATGTTTGAAGCTACTAGTGAACAAATCAACAGCCAGAAATGGTAATAAACAGAGCTCTTCATTCTCACCAGCAGCGTTTCACTCGTATATCAGTAACAGCAAGAGAAAAGCTTGCCTGGACAGAAGAACAATAGCTCACAGCTCTTCTTTGGTGCCAAAGAAAATTTGTTCCTCGCTGTTAAAAGGAAGCCCAACACGGAGAGAGATAATTATTAGCTCGGCTGCAGGCTGGGAGAGAGCCCAAAAGGCAGGGAAAACAGCTTTGGGCATTAGTTGTACCTAGAAAACAAGCTCCGTGCTGGTGGAGATCAAATAGGTTTAATTCTAAGGGAAAAAATAAAATAATGATAATAATAAAAAAAACCCCAAATGAGAAAAAACACCCCTAAGTTGAAACAAAAGACCAGGCAGATGGAAGATGTCAAGGCTGCGCTGATTTGAGTAGGGAAAGCATCACTCGTGTGTGATTCCTGCATCCTCCTGTGGTACCCACCAGAAACGTCAGCTGAGCCCTTGGAGGAAGAGCCAGGGACCTTCTGCCCCCCCCCCCAAAAAAAGGACCTGGTCCTGGCTCAAAACCCCCAGCGACCCAAGGAGGCTCGATGGAGACATGTGACAGAGGTGGGAGGGAGCCCAGCCAGGGTTTTGCTGCTGAATATTTCAGAGCAGATCAAAGCTATTAAATCCACAATTCCATCTGCCACCTTCAGAGGTTCATCTGAAGGAGCATCTCCTTACGCCACCTTTCTACACAACAAGACCTTGCCTTTGTATAGATCCTCCCAGCATCCTTACAATCCAGGCACATGGCAGGGAGGGGACATGAAGTCCCATCCCAGGAGCTTCCAGCACGACTCTGTGCAAGAAGAACCTGTTTTGGGCACAGCAACGTCAGTAAACACCACTCAGATGGGCACAGCCTCTTGTACCACCCTACAAGGGGCTCCCAGACTTCTCATGGATCCCACACGTGGGACTGAAGCCTGGAGGACCTTCAAGCAGGGCAAGAGCACCAAAAGCACTAGCCTGAAGCCCCTTCTCCAGGTGGGACATCCATCAGCCACAACAACTCCAAATGCCACTTCGGTCTCACAGCTCCTTGAGCAAATGCTGCTCTTACAGAGTTGATGGTCCCACAACAGCTCCTCAACCAGGTGACAACAGTCAAAACCCACGTCTCCATCCTTGCCAATCCTGTCCCATGCTGGTGCTCACACAGAGGAGGGACAGCCACCTCCAGCAATGCCAGCAGCGCTTGATAAATGCATTTCACTGGTGCTCACACCATGGACAACCACCAAACCCGACTCACACCTGGCTTCTGTCATTGCAAACCCAACACAAGTTCTCAGCACGTGCAATTTTGCTTCTTCTCCCACTTCTCCTCTTTCCTGCAACACCATCCTCGTGCTGCAGCACAAAACCACGAAGCACAGCTACCCAAAGCTCCCTCATCCCAGCTACACCCCATACTTCCAAAGTCAGCTTTGGTGCTCCAAATAGCAGGTGGCAATAAGAAGTTCTTCAGGAATAAATTTGACACTCCATAATCCTCCCCCATCCCCTTTATTGCAGAGCAATAAGCTCCTGGTCTCCACACATCGGGATGTTGCCCATCTCCCATGGTTTTGGTGAGGGTGAGCTTTTGGATGCCAAGCAGAGGGACATGTCTCCTTTTCCAGGAGAAAGCTGGCAGCTTGGGCAAGCTCCACGCTGCCAGACGAGGCAGAACAAGAAGAAAAGCAAAAAAAGTTTGTTGAGGAAGAGCGAAACACAACCCCCTACCTGATTGTGTTCGTGAGACGCCGAGCCCTTCCCTCGGGATGGGGAACAGCTGCCGTCGAGCTGCTCGCTACAATCCGCCGTCCACTGTAAAAAGGATAAAAAAAAAAAAAAAGGGATTGTGTAAAATAATAGGCTGGGAGAAAAAAAAAATAAATAAAATGCTGTGTCAGTCCACAGCAGGCAGCAAACACCCTCCGGGCTGTGGGCATCGCTGGACACGTGCTGCCTCCCCCCTTATTGAGGATGATCCCAAAGGATTTGGCTCGGAAACGCTCCACCCGCCGGCTCCGAGCGGAGGGAAGATGAGGGAACAATGGCAGGAAAGCACCTGAAAATGATGCTTTTTCATAAAACCCACCCCCAGTATTTCCCTTGCAGACTCCAGCGGTGTTTGGTGTCCCGGGTGTGTGGTAGGGACCTCCAAAGGCCATCTAGTCCCACCTCCCCGCAGTCAGCAGGGACACCCCCAACTAGACCAGGTTGCCCAGGGCCTCGTCGAGCCTCTCCTTGAATATCTCCAGGGATGGGGCCTCAACCACCTCCCTGGGCAACCTGTTCCAGTGCTCCACCACCCTCACAGTGAAGAACCCTCTCCTCATCTCCAGTCTAAAGCTGTTCCCCTCCAGCTTGAAGCCATTGCCCCTCGTCCTGTCACTACAGGCCTTTCTAAACAGGTTCTCCCCAGCCTTCCTGTAGGCCCCTCCAGGTACTGGAAGGCTGCTATTAGGTCTCCCCGGAGCCTCCTCTTCTCCAGGCTGAACAACCCCAGCTCCCTCAGCCTGTCCTCGGAGCAGAGGTGCTCCATCCCCCTGATCATCCTTGTGGCCCTCCTCTGGACCCTCTCCAGCAGGTCCATGTCCTTCTTCTATTGAGGGCCCCAGACCTGCACCCAATACTCCAGGTGAGGTCTCACCAGAGCAGAGTAAAGTGGCAGAATCCCCTCTCTGGACCTGCTGGCAACACTGCTTTTGATGCAGCCCAGGGTGGGATTGGCCTTCTGGGCTGCAGCTGCCCACTGCCTGCTCATGTCCAGCTTCTCCTCCACCAGCACCCCCAAGTCCCTTTCCTCAGGGCTGCTTTCCAATACCTCACCCCCAGTCTGTACTGATGGTGAGGATTGTTCCGGCCCAGGTGCAGAACCTTGCATTTGCTCTTGTTGAACCTCATGAGGTTCACCTGGGCCCACCTCTCCAGCCTGTCCAGGTCCTTTTGGATGACATCCCATCCCTCTGGTGTATCAACAACACCACACAGCTTGGTATCATCCATGGAAATTTCCTGCTTTTCCCAACTCTGTTTGCTTCAGGGACAGATAGGAGTCCTGAGCTGCCAAAAATCTGTGTTTTTATTTGAAACCGAAGATCTCAAAGCTGCAGGTTTGGCTGTTGCTCTATGTTGCAGCTATGATGGCAGCCCTCCTGTCACACCAGCTTCTCCCCATGGGGAAGGACATGGGCACTGAGGACCTCCCAGTAACAGGGGAGGACAGCAGGGTAGCAGAGGCCAGAGCAGAACAGCTCTGGAATACGACCTGCTGTTTCCCCCAGGGTCTGACAGCAAGGTGTCTCCACCAAAATAATTCAATTTGGGGTCTTTTCCCCACAGTGAAATGAAGGGTTGCATCATAGTGGAGAAAAAATAAAATAAAAATAATCAAGCAAACAAACAAACATAAATGATGCTGCTTAATCCTGAAGTCTTTTGTTGTCCCTTCCTCAAAGTTGAGACTGAACCTTGGTAACCTGTTCCATTTCTGAGGTCTTTCATCCTGGAAGCATCTGGCTGCTCCAGAAATCCCTTGGATGCTATCACCAAGGCTGATGCCCCAACAGAACGTACAAACAGCAACTACCTGAGACCTTCTTGACCTTGACCTCACAAATAAGAGGAAGAGCCACCACTAGACCTGCTCACCATCCCTGCATCACGGGAGAGCCCATGGTAGCTCAACTGGATGGGAAACAGCAGCCTCACCTTTAATGAGCTCTTTAACGAGCTGCCCATCGCTCTCCTTGCCACCTCTGCTGACCTACCTGGAGAAGCTCATGGTGCTACCACCCTAGGGAGCCTTCTGCTAGACCTATGCATATCTCCTTGAACAATTTTGAGTGCAACCACGTGCCTGGAAAGTTCTCTCAAGTTACAGCTCACCCATTATTCTACCCACAGAAGAAAGAAAATTGCATTTTCCCTGTGACTTTCCTCTTTTTTTCTGGTGGGAGCAAGGCTGGAGATAATTCCACGATGGGAATGTCCACACTCTGGGATTCTCTAGACTGGAGATGGATTCATCTCCCCTGCAAGTGGTGTGGAGCATGGAGGAGCATACAATGTGCCTGCCCTTCCTTCCCCCTGCATGAAGAGCAGTTATCTGGGGATGTTCTAGTGGGAGATGTCCCTGCCCAGGGTAGGAAGGTTGGAACTTGATGATCTTTAAGGTCCTTTCCAACTCTAACCACTCGATGATTCTATGATGTGGTACAGAATCACAGAATCTTAGTGGTTGGAAGGGACCTCTGAGATCATCGAGTCCAACCACAAAAACACAAAAAACCCCCCCCAAAAAAACCAACCCAAACAAATACAAAACACACCACACCAAACGCCCACCAAAAACCCCGCACCCACCAACTAAACCCCACACTCAACACCTCACCATAAACCAATAACCTTGGGCACTAGAGCATGCCCTGAAGAGCCATGTCTATACGTTTCTTAAATACCTCCAGGGATGAGGACTCCACCACCTCCCTGGGCAGGCTGTTCCAGGGCCTGACCACTCTCTCAGTAAAGTAGTTCTTTCTAATATCTAATCTAAATCTCCCCTGCCCCAACTTCAGACCATTTCCTCTGGGCTTGTCGTTCGTCCTTTGGGAGAAGAGGCCAACACCTGCCTCTCTACAACCTCCTTTCAGGTAGTTGTAGAGGGCAATGAGGTCTCCCCTCAGCCTCCTCTTCTCCAAACTAAACATGCCCAGTTCCCTCAGCCTCTCCTCACAGGACTTGTTCTCCAGGCCCCTCACCAGCTTGGTGGCTCTTCTGAGCATCTCACACACGTGGGTGAGAGGATTTATCCTCTCTCAGGGAGGGAAAACGTTATTACAGCCACAAGGAAACGAACCGCGGAGAGATTAAGTAACTTGCCCAACACTAAAGAATAAGTTACTGGCAGAACCTTGCAGTTAAAACCAATTTTCTTGGTCTCAGTCCAGTGCCTTCCCTCTAAAGCCATCCTTTTTCCTCCAGCTCTCATTAAGAGGGAACATGTCACCTTCAATCAGGCTGGCTTCCACCAGGGTTACTCCAGCGAGCCGCAGGATGCGTGCATGTTTATTCCTTGCTTTGATAAGAAGTGATCAGGAAGAGAAAATAAGAAGGAAAAAATCCTATTTCTTATACAAATTTCATAGAATCATAGAATGGTTTCAGTTGGAAGGGACCTTAAAGATCATCCAGTTCCAATCCCTGGCCATGGGCAGGGACACCTTCCACCACACCAGGTTGCTCCAAGCCCCCTCCAACCTGGCCCTGGAAACCTCCAGGGATGGGGCAGCCACAGCTTCTCTGGGCAACCTGGGCCAGGCTCTCACCACCCTCACACCAAAGAAGTTCTTCTCCAGATCTCTTCAAGCTCCAACAGGGTAGGTTTGATTGAACATTAGGAAGGAATATTTCACTGAAAGAGTGGTCGGGCATTGGAACAGGCTGCCCAGGGAGGTGGTGGAGTCACCATCCCTGGCTGTGTTTAAGGGACGTTTAGATGGGGTACTGAGGGACATGGTGTAGGGGAGGACTTTGTAGAGTAGGGTAGATGGTTGGACTCGATGATCCCAAGGGTGTCTTCCAACCTCAATGATTCTATGATTCTTCTCAATCTCCCCTCTTTCAGTTTAAAATGAAGGTAGAGGTGCAAAACCAAATATCTTTAGGAGACAACAGATAATTCCTTCCTACTGCACCCCTTAAGACATGGCACCATAAAAGCAGGCGACCCATGAAAAAGCCCATCCTCACTTCTTGTCCCATATTTAGCCCTAAAACCACGAAACACTGCATTTTGCTGGAGTTTCAGAGAGAAATCCTAATTCAACTTATACACCAATAGTCTGGGATACAACCCCATTTACTTGCTTAATTTGAGATGCCACTAAAAGGGCTCTAATTAAAAAGGTTCAACGTTCAGGTCTTCCGTTATTAATCCTTTTTCTTTTAAAATAAAATCTGACCATCTTTAAAGATGGTGTTCCCAGAACTCATGTTAAAAACCCAGCAGCTCCTTTTTTTTTTCCCCAGAGTAGGCCAGGGAGGAGGAAAATTAAAATCCTTATTTGTAAACTTGACACGTTAAATAAAGCAGCACTTGCTGGTTTCACCTGAAGCCCCTCCGAAGCGTCACTTCAAATACAGCCATTTTCCAGCCTTAGGTTATAAAAAAAAATGCACTATAAAGTACTTTAAATCACTTGATTTTTAAATTTAGTTTCTCCCACTTCTAACAGCTTTAATCCTCAAATTGTAAAACACCTCTTCAGTAAAATCTGCTCTTAAAAAGATTCCTTTGATTGATAATTTCTTTACACTGAGCTACTATATGAAGGGTGCAAAGCTCTGGATTGGATCCTCAGCTCCAGCAAAGGTCTGGGTTGGAAGGGACCTTAAAGACCATCCCATTCCAACACCTCCCACCAGACCAGGTTGCTCAAAGCCCCCTCCAACCTGGCCTTGAACCCCTCCAGGGATGGGGCAGCCACAGCTTCTCTGGGCAACCTGGGCCAGGCTCTCACCACCCTCACACCAAAGAAGTTCTTCCTTATGTCCAGTCTAAATCTGCTCTTTTTCAGCCTAAAACCATTGTCCCTTGACCTGTCACTCCAGACCTTGGTAAAAAGCCTGCCCACATCTTTCTTCTAAGCCCGCTTTGTATCCTGAAAGGCTGCAATGAGGTCTCCCTGGAGCCTTCTCTTCTCCAGGCTGAACAACCTCAACTCTCTCAGCCTTCATAGCAGAGCTCCTCCAGCCCTCTGACCATTTCCGTGGCCTCCTCTGGACCTTCTCCAACAGATCCATGTCTTTCTTGAACGAAGTTGGACATAGTATTCCAGGTGGGGTCTCTGGGAGTGGAGAAGGACCACCTTCCTTCCAGTCTGCAATGCTACTGGGGATTGCCCCGACCCAGGTGTAGGATCTCCTCACATGGGAGAGCAAACTCCTTTCTGCTGGACACTGGCTTTTGCACGCTGAGGTGCATGGGGTAGGGGATGGGAGAAGAAAGCACCTCTGGAACCAGCAGGAGAGCACCTTGCCCTCACCAGCCCAACCACTCCTCCCAATTCAAAGGCAAAACAATGCCCTAGGGAAGCCGGGCCTCCTTTGTAAGCAATTAATAAACTTGAACGTGAAATGAGAGCCAAAACGACCTGCAACAAAACTCTTTGTGGTGGAGGAGGTCACGGGTCCTGAACAAACCTGCCTGGACTCTGCCCTTCTCCTCATCATCGTACCTCCAGCTGGGCTTTGCCACACGATCTCGTTAGCCATTAAGCTAATGGCTTTAAGCTGGAGGGGAACAGCTTTAGACTGGAGATGAGGAGAGGGTTCTTCACTGTGAGGGTGGTGGAGCACTGGAACAGGTTGCCCAGGGAGGTGGTTGAGGCCCCATCCCTGGAGATATTCAAGGAGAGGCTCGACGAGGCCCTGGGCAACCTGGTCTAGTTGGGGGTGTCCCTGCTGACTGCGGGGGGGTCGGACTAGATGACCTTTGGAGGTCCCTTCTGGTCTGGACAACTCTAATGTTAAGGGTTAATGAGAAGTGTTTTGGGGATCTCTGCTCAGGATCAGTCTTGTGTATAGAGATGAAGACCCAAATCAGACCAGCAGACCCCTCCAGCAGCTCAAACACATCTCAGCTCTCCAACAACTACCATATCCTTACTCTTAGGACCCTTCAGTCTTATTCTTATTTTGTCCTCATAATCAGTACGTAAGCAGTCCCAAACCTAAATATTTTAGCCCTGTGGGTTAAGGAAAGCACCTCTGTCACAAATGGAAGATCATGGCAGCTTTACAAGCCTAAGGTCATCACGCCCTGCACCTTATTCCTTCACCAGTTCATGCCTTCAGCACGTATCTGCCACACCGTGGCACCAGAATACAAATTATTTCCCTCCAAAACCAACAACAACAGTTTGGGAGGTTTCATTTCTCCTCGCGTTGGACCTAAATTTGCCATTTTTGGAACAAACCTAACTAAGAGCATGTCATTCCTAACGACAACACCAAACCACATCCTCTGAAATACAGCCATCTCCTTCCCTGACATAACAACCATGAAACAAGCAACCAAGTTATTACACATATTAAAATGCCCACAAGAACCTCACTTTTGGGGCTTTTGATCGACCTTCTGGTCTTGGTTGTTGCATGGACACTGAGCATCCCCTCAACTGCAGCCCCAGCAGCTCTTCCCTGTCCCTCCAGGATTTTTCCACCCTTCCAAAGCAGTGTGCTGTTGGGGATGGAGAGCGACACGCTTAATTAATAAATAAGATGTCCTTAATTTATAGAATCATAGAATTGCCCAGGCCGGAAGGGACCTCCAAGGTTCATCTAGTCCGACCTGCAGTCAGCAGGGACACCCCCAACTAGACCAGGTTGCCCAGGGCCTCATCAAGCCTCTCCTTGAATATCTCCAGGGAAGGGGCCTCAACCACCTCCCTGGGCAACCTGTTCCAGTGCTCCACCACCCTCACAGTGAAGAACCCTCTCCTCATCTCCAGTCTAAAGCTGTTCCCCTCCAGCTTGAAGCCATTGCCCCTCGTCCTGTCACTGCAGGCCTTTCTAAACAGGTTCTCCCCAGCCTTCCTGTAGGCTCCCTTCAGGTACTGGAAGGCTGCTATTAGGTCTCCCCGGAGCCTCCTCTTCTCCAGGCTGAACAACCCCAGCTCCCTCAGCCTGTCCTTGTAGCAGAGGTGCTCCATCCCCCTGATCATCCTTGTGGCCCTCCTCTGGACCCTCTCCAGCAGGTCCATGTCCTTCTTGTATTGAGGGCTCCAGACCTGCACACAATACTCCAGGTGAGGTCTCACCAGAGCAGACTAAAGTGGCAGAATCCCCTCTCTGGACCTGCTGGCAACACAGCTTTTGATGCAGCCCAGGGTGGGATTGGCCTTCTGGGCTGCAGCTGCCCACTGCCTGCTCATGTCCAGCTTCTCCTCCACCAGCACCCCCAAGTCCCTTTCCTCAGGGCTGCTTTCCAATCCCTCACCCCCCAGTTTGTATTGGTGGTGAGGATTGTTCCGGCCCAGGTGCAGAACCTTGCATTTGCTCTTGTTGAACCTCATGAGGTTCACCTGGGTCCACCTCTCCAGCCTGTCCAGGTCCTTTATAAATGGGAACCTTGGAAAAGTGAGAAAACTTCAGGGCACACACCTTGAGACCATGGAAAAACAAAACCCAGTTGGCTGGAGACCTCTACCAACTGGATGGAGACCTGAGATCTGGCTTGAACAAGCAAAATGCCCCAAATCCAGTCTTTTATTATGTCCTGCTTTACACCCCAACGCTCATAAAGGTGTTTCAACTGGAGGTACATCCCCAACCCAGGTGACGAGCCACCAGCATCCCACTCCACACCGTGCCCATGGCCCACCTGGGAGATGTGGGACTGAGTCTTCTCGCTCTCGCCGTCCCCCTCCGTTTTATCCGTCAGGAGCCCCTGGACCTGATACTCCAGGACGTAGCTGTCGATGAAACGCTCCAGCTCCTCGATCTCCTGAGAGCGGCTGCTGCCCGCCTCCGAGGAGGCCGATGCCACCGACGAGTTCTCCATCCCTTCAGGAGAGACGCCGAGAACTGAGGGGGCCTAAGAAAAAAAAAGGCAAAAAATGATTTACCAGTAATTATTAAAAAAAAATTTAAAAGTAGCCAAAACCTATCAGCTACTGTAGGCAGGATATTTTTTGCTGTACATCCAATAATATCTATAATAATCTTAGGTGGTCACGTTTGGAGTTTCCATGAGTGCACAAACTAAATGTTGGAGTTGATGATCTTAAAGGTGCCTTCCAACCTAGATGATTCTATCATTTTATGAAAAAAAAATCCAGTTTCTCTGATATTCCTACATCTAAAGACAACTACAGACATTTTGCTGATCCTCCTTCTTAAAATCCAAACTACCAAAGAACCCAAACTACTGGAGAAACTACAAACCACTGCAGAAACAACCCAGAACCCAAACTACTGCCCAGAGAAGCCCCCCTGGAGGGGACAGGGCATCCACAACATCCTTCTCCCAAACACAGTCCTACTCTGCCAGACCACCAAGAGCTGTGGATCCATGGTTTTGCTGGTGGGACACGTCAACATCTGACATCCAGACCATCAGAAGATGTGCATCTGATGAAACCTCAAATACAACATCACCAGTAGCTCTCACGAAGTTCAGGTGGATGTTCCTGTATCTTTGCGTGCACCTACCAAGCACATCCATCCCAGATAACACTCCTTTGAAAGTTGGCCATCATTGTCCTCCAACAACATGATGTGTTCCTACAACATCCCCTTCATGTCACTGAAATGCCACCTTCTCTGACCAAGAACAGCGCAGCTCCACCAACCACACCACCACCACCACAGACAGAAATGAAAGGTAAACGAAAGGAACCCTCCAGAGGCAAGCAAAAGGCATGGAGAGGTCCTCCTGTGGTCTCCTAAGACGGAAATAGCACCAGAAGACCTTGACCCTCACCATAGATGCTTCTTCAAACAAGACTTACATTTAGAAGACTCCCAAAGCCCAGGCTGGAGCAGGAAGCCACAGTTTGTACATCTAACAGTGGCCACACATCATATGGTCAACACAAGAGCTTCCATGAGGGCAACACATCTGGTCACGCCAGCAAGGACAGGTACAGTTTGCTCTGAGGAGGCAACTGCTACCACCCAAGCCACCCTCTCACGTGGTCTTCTCCCCTGCCCAGGCCTGGGGTGCCTGGGGACACAGAGCGGGCAGTGGGGACCGTTCCAGCTGCAAACACCTGCAGATGATGCTCTTCAAGCCCCACACTTCAGTACGCACTGCTGGATTACCTGCGAGGTCTCAAAGGTACCTCAAGGTACTGAGGAGATGCTTGGTTTTGCAAACATGGGCCGAACCCACAGCAGCAAAGAGGACAAGAAGAGCCATCAAAACTAAAGATTTTCCATGTGACATTACAGCTCTGGGACTCATTGCTGTGGGAGATGGGATCACTCTTGAGGGAGCTGACAACCCTTCTTAGGCCATCAGTCAAGTGCTGGCTCCGAGTTCACCTCAAGCGCCACATCCTCCCATCCAGAGAAGCTGGGATGAGTGAGGGAGAGGGGGCTCAGCATCCCTGTTGTTCCCCACCCAACCACTGTGGAGGGAGTTTGGACCAACCCCTCTCCTCCTGCCTGTTCCTCCGTGGCTGAATGTCACTCACACCTTAAAGAGAAGAAGCCATCAATTCCTCTACCTGGGCTGGACACGTTTGCACACGAATTGGACTGGATGATCTCCAGATGTCCTTTCCAACCTCTACAAATCTGTGATTCTCTACTTCAGCTCTGCGTCAGGGTCAGCAAGTTTGCGGACGACACCAAGCTGTGTGGTGTTGTCGACACACCAGAGGGACGGGATGTCATCCAAAAGGACCTGGACAGGCTGGAGAGGTGGGCCCAGGTGAACCTCATGAGGTTCAACAAGAGCAAATGCAAGGTTCTGCACCTGGGCCGGAACAATCCTCACCACCAATACAAACTAGGGGGTGAGGTAATAGAAAGCAGCCCTGAGGAAAGGGACTTGGGCGTGCTGGTGGAGGAGAAGCTGGACATGAGCAGGCAGTGGGCACTTGCAGTCCAGAAGGCCAATCCCATCCTGGGCTGCATCAAAAGATGCGTTGCCAGCAGGTCCAGAGAGGTGATTCTGCCACTTTGCTCTACTCTGCTCTGGTGAGACCTCACCTGGAGTATTGTGTGCAGGTCTGGAGCCCTCAATAGAAGAAGGACATGGACCTGATGGAGAGGGTCCAGAGGAGGGCCACAAGGATGATCAGGGGGATGGAGCACCTCTGCTACGAGGACAGGCTGAGGGAGCTGGGGTTGTTCAGCCTGGAGAAGAGGAGGCTCCGGGGAGACCTAATAGCAGCCTTCCAGTACCTGAAGGGAGCCTACAGGAAGGCTGGGGAGAACCTGTTTAGAAAGGCCTGCAGTGACAGGACGAGGGGCAATGGCTTCAAGCTGGAGGGGAACAGCTTTAGACTGGAGATGAGGAGAGGGTTCTTCACTGTGAGGGTGGTGGAGCACTGGAACAGGTTGCCCAGGGAGGTGGTTGAGGCCCCTTCCCTGGAGATATTCAAGGAGAGGCTCGATGAGGCCCTGGGCAACCTGGTCTAGTTGGGGGTGTCCCTGCTGACTGCGGGGGGATCGGACTAGATGACCCTTGGAGGTTCCTTCCGGCCTGGGCAATTCTATGATTCTATGAGGTAAGACTCATACTCCTCCTTCCCTGAGGTCAGGAGGGAAAAGACAGAGGAGATCCTACCACATTACAGGACGTCAAGACTTCATCCCCCTCCTTCACCGAAAACTGGTATTCACAGGCTGTTTTGAGAGAAGTATAAAATTACCAAGTAAATTTGGAGTGAGTCACATGCCTTCCGGAAGGGAAGGAGAAAAAAAAACATCAACAAAAAACCCCCAAAAAACCCCAACCACCATAATCTGTTCCCAGCTCCTGAACTATTTCTCATCTGTCACTTCTGAACAATTGTGGCTTCATTTGGAAACTGCTGAGAACGAGCAGTTCTGGCTTAAGGATTTCATCTGCTCAAGGAATTATTCCCAAATGTGCCCAGACTGTCAAGAAGGCTCATTATGGAGATCAATATCAGGCATTAACTCCCGAACAAAAAATCATGCGGCGTATTAAAAAGGAGAAGGGAAAAAAAAAAAATATAAGAGGAAAGAAAAAATAAAAAGAGGAGCCCCAGAGAGCATGGAGAAGGGCATGCCTCTCCCCTTTTAGCTAATTAGTGCCAATTACCATATGGAAAGTACCAGTTAATAAATAGAAATTGCTAAAAAAAAGAGCTGGGAGAATAGGGGGCTGCAACAAGTCCTGGAGGGCACGATGGCATGAGGTAAGGGACAGCTGATACAGGTGGCATCACTTGGGATGGAGCACGTAGGGCATCCTCCAACCCCTGGGGCCACAAAACACAAACCCAATGGGGGTTTTTTTGCCTATTTTATTATTATTATGGGTTTTTTTAAGGTGGCACTGGAGGAAATCAAAGCCAGGACACTGCCCTGGGGATGCTGCCCCTTGAAGACCCATCATAAACCAGAGACAATGGACTGAAAGGGCTTTGGCAAAAGTCACCAGGTCCAGGAAAGGAGCACAAACCACGTATTCGAGATATTTCTGGATCTCTAGTAGGACACTTTGAACCTAAGTCCATCTTGTAGCACCTTCACCTCTCTCTAAAGGAAACCAGAACTTAGCAGGAAGAAACACCCCTACGTTTAATGGCGATGAGTTACCACCTGAGATAGGATCATCTAGAGCAGATGTCCAGGCATGGACAGCAAGTTGGTCGGCATCCAAGCCTTATAATAAGATGAAAGACTAAGAAGTCATGGTCTATAATCTTCTTTAGATGCTTAGTCTGCACAGCGTTGGTGTCAATCACGTAATGACACAGAGACCAACCAATGACGTAGACATCTTAACGTGCGTGTGTTGAGGCCACTGCTGATGTGTCTCCATCACCCAACACGGGGCATCAATAAAGAGGCTCAAGAAGCAGAAGAACTTCTTGACTTTGTGGCCTCTCCTGGCACTCTGCCCGCTAGAAACCAGCTCTGGATTTTCTATATTTGTCCTCTGAAGTCCTCTTCTAACCACGCTCCTGCATTCATGGTTAGGACCACATGTCCCTGATCACTACAGTAGTGGGGTAAAACCCAACCTTGATGCTGACCCTTCAAACAAGTGCTTGGACTAAAGACCTTCTGAGGTCTTCTCCAACCTGAAAGATTTTATGACTCCATAAGATGATGCTCTAGCACTTCATCGGTTAAGAAAGCCTCCTCTGCTCTCTCAACCTACTTTCCATACTTCATTCTGGGCAGTCTCACCCATTTTAGATGAGTCTTTCCCAGTTATGATGCAACTGCCTTTCCCCAGCCTGCCCAGATGGGGGTTGTTTTGGTCACCATCTTCCAGAAGCTTTTTCAGCTGCCACCTTGATTTCCGAGCTCTACCTAATTCTACCAAGTGTGAGATGCACATGTATAAAATGAACTTGACAAAACAAAAGCAAGACAATCAGAGGTTTAGAGGCCCATTTTCTGGGTCCTGCAAACCAGTTCCTGGTTCAAGCAGCCTGGCCCTTCAGGAAGAACAGACTTTGGACCATAGATGGTGGTCACACCATGGGAATGGAAGCAACCCTCTAGATTCAGACCAATTCAAGCTCACCCACGAAGGTTTATTCTCCATACTAATGCTAAATCTTCTCTCCCTTTCCAAAATTAACCCTCTCCACCAGGAAGGTGGGATGGGCTGGATGGTCTCCTGCTCTTCTTGGTGCCACATGGCATGAAACCTCTGTGCCTGGAGCTGGTTTCCCACCTCACCTCGCCCTCAAAACATGTATAAACAAGGGGTTTTCAAATAAAAAAACCAACATACATTTGAGCATCAAAGTGGTTGATACCTTCCTAAACTAAGTAAATGCATGTTCTTGAGAGCTCTTCAGGGAGTGGTGATCCCTTGGATCTCTGTTGGCATAGAGCCTACCACCAAGGTTTCCTAGACCCCAGATAATTAATGATGATTAATAGAGATCAACCTCAAATCTATGTTTTTTTTTCCTGTCCCTCACTCCTCTCCCTACTTTGTCAAAGCACAAAGTCTGTAAGTTTGGGGGATCTGAAAATTATCTTCCAAACCTTTCTACAAAGCCATGCTGTGCTCATTACTATGACCATAAAACATGGATCCACCAACAGAAAAAGTCAAGAGGTGTGCAAACTGCTTATTAGAACTTGGTAATTATCAGCATTACTGTAATGTATTATTATTAATAGCTGTTATTTTAAAGAGTGATCTAAATCACAGAATCACAGAATGATATGGGGTTGGAAGGGACCTCTGGAGAACATCTAGTCCAACTTCCCTGCCAAAGCAGGTCCACCCAGAGCAGGTTGGACAAGAACGTGTCCAGGTGGGGTTTGAATGTCTCCACCACCTCTCCGGGCAGCCTCTGCCAGGGCTCTGCCACCCTCACAGGAAAGAAGTCCCTCCTCATGTTGAGATGGAACTTCTTATATTCAAATTTGTGCCCATTTCCTCTTGTCCTGTCCCTGGGCACCACTGAAGAAAGACTGGTCCCATCATCCTGACACCCACCCTTCAAGTATTTATAGATGTTGGTCAGATCCTCCCTCAGTCTTCTCTTGAAAATGGGGTTCTTGCTTTAACAAGATTATACAGTTTACGGCAATTATACCATTTTACCCTTAATCAGCAAAAAACCTCAATAAGAACAAGCAATTTTTATGACATTTGTATGTTCATACAGTAGATGGAGGGTGGAAGCACCACCCACACAACAGACCAGCCCATCCTGAGGGCCTGCCCAGGGCTCCTCAGAGTGTCAAGCTCAACATGTGCCCCATCTCCAAAGGTGGACTTGTGTTGAACTTGAGGAACCAAGTGGTGAGTCTGATACGTAGAGAAGCAATGGAGAAAGAAACCAGTTTGGACTAGATGGGTGGGACACGACACAGGGGAACTTGCAACCAAAATGATGTAAGAGGAGGAAGGTGGATCCATGATGAGAAGAAGACAGACACACAGGGATAGGAATGTATTTCCATCACCTCACTCTGGCCCAGGTGAGAGGACCTCACACGTACGTCCTCCCCCAAGGCAGATGCTCCAATCATCCTCTCTCCAGCACAACAGAACAAAGCTTCTCCAAAACCTTGACTGCAGCAGCCCGGCCACGCCGAGGCAGCACCACAGGGCAGCCACACACAGCTCTCCACCTGGGGTGGGACACTTGGGTGTCCCAGCCATCCCAAGGGAGCAGGAACTCCAGCTTCACACAAACATCATTCCCTGAAGTAAGGAGCGGGGTCTTCTGGTCCGAAACACGTTGACATGGCAACCTTGTCAGCAAGACTCCCGCCCATGAAGACATCTTCCTCAAACAACTCTTGCTCCAACTCAGCAAGATGAACCAACATCCTAACCTACAATAACATCAGCACACCTTCTTCAGGTCCAACCTGATTGGGCATCAGCGAAGGAAACAAAATGAAGAGGTTGATTTTGCTACTTTTTTTTTTTGCTTCTGTTGGATGGATGCTGAAAGCCTAAAATGCTTTCTCACATGCAACAAGTTTCTTTGAAGGTCGTGGCCTTCTAAGCCAAGAGAACCAGGAGAACCACGCTATGACACACACCCAAATAGCGAGAGTTGGAAGGGGATTTACTCCCCCAACTACGCTGCCAGGAGTGAATACTTTTATTTTATTTATTTTTTTAATTTTTTCTAGGTTGGAAGGCACCTTAAAGATCATCTTGTCCAACCGTCAACCCAACTGACAAAAATAGACACCCACACAACAAACAAGGAGCATCATCACTAAACCATATCTCCCAGCACTACATCAACCCGTCTTTTGAACACCTCCAGGGATGGGGCCTCAACCACCTCCCTGGGCAGCCCATTCCAATGCCTGATGACCCTTTCAGTGAAAAAATGTTTCCTAATATCCAGCCTGAACCTCCCCTGGTGCAACTTGAGGCCATTTCCTCTCGTCCTGTCGCCTCTGACTTGGGAGAAGAGACCGACCCCCATCTCTCTATACCCTCCTTTCAGGGAGTTGTAGAGAGCGAGAAGGTCTCCCCTCAGCCTCCTCTTCTCCAGGCTGAATAACCCCAGCTCCCTCAGCCTCTCCTCATAAGAACTTATTCTCCAGACCCCTCACCAGCTTTGTTGCCCTTCTCTGGACCCGCTCCAGCCCCTCAATGTCTTTTTTATGGTAGGGGGCCCAAAACTGGACACAGTACTCGAGGTGAGGCCTCACCAGTGCCGAGTACAGGGGGACGATCACCTCTCGGGCCCTACTCCCCACACTGTTCCTGATACAGGTCAGGATGCTGGTGGCCTTCTTGGCCACCTGGGCACACTGCTGGCTCATGTTCAGCCCACAGGTGACCAACACCCCCAGGTCCTTTTCTGCCAGGCAGCTCCAGCCACTCTGCCCCCAGCCTGTAGCGCTGCCTGGGGTTGTTGTGACCGAAGTGCAGGACCTGGCACTTTCAGAAGATTTATTCCCCAGCAATGCCACTGGAGAAGCAGGTTGTGACGGGCTCCAGACCTACCCTGACAGATCATCTTTTTCTTGCCATATGGGATTTATCATCCCGGGTTCTCCCAAGAACAAGAGATGCTTCCTATAAAAGGCAGCCGCGGTGCAAATTCTTCGCGTACTGACGCAGCCAGCTCCTTCCAGAGCCTTTTGTGGTAGGACATCCAGCCTCCCTCTTGCGTTCGCTCTCCCTGAGGAGTTTATAATAAATACATTTTAAATACTTCTGTGATCCAGCAGGTCCCTTCTGCTCTGAGACACCTGGGACATGAACCAAGAAGCACCCCAGCAGCCCACAGATTTATTTATCTGTGTCTGCATGGGATGATGGTGAAACCAAACTGAAGAACCCCCCCGGAGCGAGACCCAAGGAGAAGCTCCAGCCCAGCACCAGCCAGCAGACACCACATCCCACCCCACGAGCAACCAACATTAATTTTCACATTTCTTGTCGGGTCTCCAAAACCTACCCCATTCCTCTCCACTCCCTACAGTGAAGACCTGTTGGACATCACCCTCTCAGTGAGATGACACCTTCTTCTGGGTGTAATTCTTCTGTCTCAGCCTATCTGGGGCTGAGCAGAGAGGAACAGTATGTGGTGAAACCCTCCATCATCACCTCCTTCATGCTGCTTGCCTGCTGTCTTCTCCAAGCTGGCCTTTGCAAAGCCATGGGGAAGGAAGTCCCTTCAGCCCCAGACCTGGGAGGTGAGGAATGCCTTGACTGCATGGCCCAAGCGGTGTAGGACAACTCTCCTACTTCTTATCAGTACCTTCACAGAATCACAGAATCTTCTAGGTTGGAAGGGACCTTAAAGATCATCTTGTCCAACCATCAACCTAACTGACAAAAATAGACACCCACACAACAAACAAGGAGCATCATCACTAAACCAGACCTCCCAGCACTACATCAACCCCTCTTTTGAACACCTCCAGGGATGGGGCCTCAACCACCTCCCTGGGCAGCCCATTCCAATGGCTGAGAACCCTTTCAGTGAAAAAATGTTTCCTAATATCCAGCCTGAACCTCCCCTGGTGTAACTTGAGGCCATTTCCTCTTGTCCTGTCGCCTGTGACTTGGGAGAAGAGACTGACCCCCACCTCTCTACACCCTCCTTTCAGGGAGTTGTAGAGGGCAATAAGGTCTCCCCTCAGCCTCCTCTTCTCCAGGCTGAATAACCCCAGCTCCCTCAGCCTCTCCTCATAAGACTTAATCTCCAGACCCCTCACCATCTTTGTCGCCCTTCTCTGGACCCGCTCCAGCCCCTCAATGTCTTTTTTATGGTAGGGGGCCCAAAACTGGACACAGCACTCAAGGTGAGGCCTCACCAGTGCCCAGTACAGGGGGACAGGTCAGGTGAAACCTTCCACGTGCTTTACCTCTGCAAATAACCATCTGCCAGCTTACACTCCAGCAGCTCTACAGCCAGAAGGACCTTTGACCGTCTGCGTTTGGGGTTTGACCTCCTGCCTATCAGCACATCCACGGGCAGCGGGCAGCCGACTCGCTTCCCAACATCTCCTTTTAATGAGCTCCTTCAGCAGCAATATTTTTTTCCTCTCCTAATCCAGCCAGTTTCCAACGAGAAGTAATTAGCAACGTGTCTTTCCGACGCGGCGAGAGCATCTCAGGGAATGAAAGCAGCAGTTTATCTTCATCGCCGGCGGCAACATCCAGCTTTAACAAACACCCAGCAAAGGGCAGGAACAGTTACTATGGAAAATGAAAGCGATGGAGATGAACCACGACTCCCTCCATCCAGGTCTTATCGTGTCTCTGTGAGCACAGATGAAGCATCACGTGGAGGGTTTGGATCTATTTTTTTTCCATCCGCCAAAATAATATAAATTATTACCATCCTGGATCTCATCCTGTTCTAATTAAAATGTAAACACCTCCCAAAACCACAGCGAGCGTCTGCTGCTGGCACCAGCCTTGGGCTTTTCGGATACTGATGCATCCGTGGCTGGCTGAGCATTTTATAGATTTCATCAGCCCCTCCAGTCTCAGCTCTGGTTTCTGGTACCTGGTGATGCAGAAAAACCCCAAGTGACAGGAAAAAAAAAAGCCCAACAGCTGCCACGTTGCGGTGCCATCCCCGAGCCTGGCATGCCACAGAGCGGGCCAACGCCAGAGCGCATCAAAACAGAGCTATTCAAATAAACACAGAAATACATCGGGGGGGAGGAAAAAAACAAAGGAGAGAGCCAGGAGACAACCGAGCACAAAAAGCCACAGAATCCAACCCAAAGCAGCCGCCTCGATGCAGAGATCCAGCAAGGAAGGGAGAGAATTAATCGGAAAGCCAGAAATCCCTTGTTCTCAGCCAGATAATTTATTACATAGCTTCACTGCAATAAGGGTGATTTATTTTTTTTTTTGGTGGATGGGAAGTGAACTTGTTTTTTTCTTTTATAAAAAAAAACAACACCACAAAGCCTCGTCACCTTTAGAAAACAAAGTCTTTTTGTGTGTCAAATCCGTGCACGAGGTTGGAGCGGTTTCCGTCCAGATGGGCTTCCTCGCCTGAGGCGGGGAGGGATGTTACCGTTGGCTTGAGGTGGATGTTGCCAAGAAAAAGAAAGGAAAAACCAGCACACAGCTAAGAAAACCACCCTCTGAACTTCAGGAGGTGGGATTATGGCCCATCTGATGGACATCAGGCCCATCCCGTGGTGGGATGCTCCTCTACGTTGGGATTGCCAGGGCAGGAGGTCGGCTGGAGCGTCGCTCCGGCTGCAGCACAACAGCAAAGCACACTGATTTTAATACACATTTGATCCATGGAAATACATCAGCATTTCTAGAATCAGTATTTCTAGAAATAAAACCTGAACCAAGTCATAAAAAACCCACAACCCCCAAATCAAGAGGAGCCTGAGTTTTAAAACCTATTTCTGCCTTGGCTGATAATACAAACTGGGACTTGAGTCAGACTTAATCCCTTTTCACGTTCCCCTGCTCCTACAAAAATTTAACGGAACGAGAGCCCCCGTTACATCTTCTCCTTGTTATTTTTCACCTTTCCAAAGGAAACGTCAAGAAGTAAAAATATTTGAGGAAACAGCCAAAAAAAGCTCAGATTTCACACGTGCTCCACGATCGCCTCTTCGGAGCTGCGCTGTTTCTCCTTCGAGAGCAGGAATTCATAGAATTACAGAATGGTTTGGGTTGGAAGGGACCTTGAAGATCACTGAGTTGCAACCCCCCCGCCCTGGGCAGGGACACCTCCCACCACACCAGGTTGCTCCAAGCCCCATCCAACCTGGCCTTGAACCCCTCCAGGGATGGGGCAGCCACAGCTTCTCGGGGCAACCTGGGCCAGGCTCTCACCACCCTCACAGCAAAGAAGTTCTTCCCCACATCTCATCTCAATCTCCCCTCTTTCAGTGTCAAACCCTTCCCCCTCGTCCTATGGCTCCCCTCCCTGATCCAGAGTCCCTCCCCATCTCTCCTGGAGCCCCTCGAGGGACTGGAAGGGGCTCTAAGATCTCCCTGGAGCCTTCTCTTCTCCAGGCTGAGCATGCACTCAACAAGTGGCCGAATCGCCACAGAGGGTAGGTGAACCCTCGTGTCTCACCAGTCCTTGACCTCCTCCTTTTCTCTCATTGTCCAAGTTGGGGAATTTCTAGTGATCTCATAGTGCATGTGCAAAGTGTGTGAGCTGGTGGTGTATGGTCTCCAGCCAGGATGAGGTTGAAGGACACACGGCTGCTTGCCATGTTGTACTTGCTCCAGGGATTGACCACTATCTGGAAGCAGCCAGGTTTTCAAGGTGGCACCTTTCATGACATGCCTGCTACTCCTCAGATGTTTATCACGGATCGTGAGCCATCAATTCCTGGAGTAAAAGGTCTTGGGAGATGTTCCGCCTTCTCTTCTCCAGGCTGAACCCCCCCAACTCTCTCAGCCTGTCCTCACAGCAGAGGGGCTCCAGCCCACGAAGCCTCTTTGTAGCCTCCTCTGAAGGCATGAACGAAGGTGTTCTCCTGCCAAGAGAGCTTGCCCACACGTGTGCCCCCCCTATAACGCACGCAGCGAGTAGCAATCCTCAGGCAACCAATGCCTGCATAGAATCATAGAATCATTGAGGTTGGAAGAGACCCTTGGGATCATCGAGTCCAACCACCTACCCTACTCTACAAAGTCCTCCCCTACACCATGTCCCTCAGCACTGCATCTAAACGGCCCTTAAACACATCCAGGGATGGGGACTCCAACCACCTCCCTGGGCAGCCTGTTCCAATGCCCCACCACTCTTTCGGTGAAAAATTCTTTCCTAATGTTCAATCTAAACCTGCCCTGTTGGAGCTTGTTGCTGGAGCATGTTGCCCAGCTCCTCCACAAATCCCGGGGGGATGAGCCCCAATCCCGTGGAGCTCTCCTCAGGCCAAGAGCACAGCCCACCTCCGAAATAAAAGGGTTATAACAACCAGCTGATCCACACACTTTGCAGCCCCACGTTTCGCCGCCGGCACCGGTCGCCACGTACCGTTCTTTCAACAAAGAACCGAAGGGGGAACCATTATGGGGAAGGAAATCTTTTCTTTCCAAGCATCCAGGCAATCTAATGGGCACTTGGGCTGTGAAAAGCCCTTGTAATCCTAAAAGACACAGCCAACTCTACGTTGAGATGTCAACCCGCTGAAGTAATCCATCCCGTGGGTCGCTGCCGGAGGGGAGGGATGGGGAGGGAGCGGCGTCCCCCCCAGGTCAGCAGCGGGGCAGGCCCCAGGGTGTTTAATCCCCATTAAACCGTGCCCGTAGTTTGCTGGCAAAGAGCATTTTTTGCATCTGTAGCCTGGCTTTTAGCGGCATTCAGAGGACATTTTTGGCCACCGGCCAAAAATCTGGGGTTGCCACTCGGGATGGATGGATGGAGGGGAGTTAATGCTAGGAGGAGCCAGCTGGTCCTCTCCTCCTGGGAATCATAGTTTTGGGTTGGAAGGGATCTTAAAGACCATCTAGTCCAACCCCCCTGCCATGAGCAGGGACATCTTCAACTAGACCAGGTTCCTCAAAGCCCAC